TATATAAAAAAATGAGATTTTGAAAATAAAAACCTGTTTTAAAAAACTATTTCTTTTTTTGTTTGAAATTTACTAAGGATACAAGAAACAATATGTTATCAAATAAGTTTATTTTTAAAATATTAAAAATAAAAAACTAAAAACTAAGGAAATAATTATCAAAGGCTTTAGTCATTTGATTGGCACTGTCTTAGTAGTCCATATCTATTATAAACGGTCCCTTCTTTTATCAATGTGAGATCTTTAATAGATGAAACAAAGGTTTTCAATATTCTTCTATTGGTTTAGGAAAATAAACAAAAATAAGAAGTGTAAAAATTCTAAAATGGAACCGAAGACAAGAATTGTGTTAAACTTTCGCATATTTCCATGAATGTTGGGGTCTTACTGTGGGCACTCGACCTGTTAGAGTGAAATCGAAAAAATCGACCTGACAGGTTGGCTTCGGTTACTTAGAAAGAGAAGCCATGCATCGGAGTTTATTAGTCGGGAGCATAGAAGAGATCGGTCAAAGGCAAGGACTGGAGGTCGCTTTGGCAAGTCCAGAGCGAGCAGGGAAATATCCAATGGAACGACTATCTACCCTGTTGACCGCTATAAATACGTCATCACACTACAAGTCCAGGTATGAAATCTCGTTAAGCTTGAATTAATTACTGACTTGGACGTCGCAGTGACTTATTTCCTTACAGATATCCCAAGAATCGTTCTAAGTGTAGCTAATCGACCTCCCAAATCGTCATACATGCCTTTGGCAGATTTTAGCATCTAACAACAAAGATCATATTGTTGTGAAAAAAGCAAAGCAGTTAATTCTTCGGGAAAAAAAAATCTCCGTCGAAGTAAAAAAAATAAGCAAATCTGTTAGGCTAACGGAGAGTAAGAAAAAAAGATTGAGAACTGTTAACTCAGTGGTAAGAATTCAAGATCGGAAACGTTTATTTTTTTTTTATTATTTTTTCTCTCTCTCTCGCTCTTTCTTTTCAATATTTTATATATTAAAGTACGTTAAAAGACTAAATTAAAAAAAAATGAAAATCAACTTCATATATTTTTATTTGGGGAGTGCATTTTCTTTAAATTATTTTCAAAATAACTATACTGAAAAAGAAAAAAGAAAAAAAAAAACTCAATTCGGAGATTTTCCATTACACAGACAGACTTGCCTTTTTGTTTTCAATATCATATTGCCCTTGGAAGGAGGCCTTTGCCCAAGACAAAAAAAAGCCTATTCAGAAATTATTTTTGGTATATTATTAATAACTAGACAGATAATTGTAATATATTTAAATCAGAAACCATAGATTTGGTTGTTTTGAAAATAACCCTTTTAATTATGAATAATTATGGATTTTGGACTGAATTTAAAATTTTTGGGGTAATCAAATGCTCCTCATTACTCACTCTTTGGGGAAGGGAATACCCTGGACACGTGGAGGACCCCTATTGGTGCTCCAAGATAACTCATGAATCATGTCCAGTTCGGAAGGCCGAGATGGCCGCCACCAACGCCGACAAATGCCAAGTGTGAGGGCCGAGGTGAGCCTGGCCCAGGTCCGACCCACCGGGGAGTTCGGTATGGGCCGAGATGCGCAACTGTCTGCAGCGTGATTATCGGGCGTAACCGTTGGTCCCGAGATTACCGGATGTAACCGACGGTCCCGCGATTACCGAATGTAACAGCCGCGAGATTAGCGGGACTACCACCCATAAGTAGAGGACTTCACTCCACGATCAGGTACGATGATTTCTGGCCTCGAACTAAACTTGGAATCCGACCTATACTAACTCGATCGTCGGAGTGCTCACCTTTTTGTGCAGGTCCGCCCAAGTGTTCAGGTCGGTCCGGAGGCCGGGTTCGAGCTACAACCAGGAACACACTGTTGTGCACATCTTTGGATAAACACTCACTATCCATCCTTTCGATTCCAAAATTCCAATTAATCCCTCTAAATCAAAAATAAATAAATAATGTTTACTTTCATATAAAAAATTGAATAATAAAACTTTTCATTTGTATGTAATTGTTTTTAATATAAAAATATTACAATTAAAATAAGAAAGTGAAAGTTTGAATCATCAAACTTAAAAAATAAGTATTATTTGAACAATAGATAGACATTAAGAACTATATTTTTGTTAGAGATTTGTAGTTTCTGTTTGTTGGGAGATCAACAGAGAGATACAAAACTCTAATGTTGAAATTATTTTTTTTTTCCTCTTGCCTTTTTTTTTGTTGCTATTATTGTAAATTATTCCATTATTAGGGTCAAAATCTTATCATTGTAGGGCCTCAAAACATTGTATTATTTGAAAGTTGACTTAAATTTTATAAAATACAATTTAATAAATTTTCTTTAATTTATCTTTTCTATTGCAAAAGTTTATCTATACAACTAGGCAAATGACTTCATACCAACAATGTCCATTTCCGAGATAATGTTGGGAAGGAACTACAAGATTAAAAAATAAATATATACGTATATATTATTCCTAAATTTAAATAATAGAATAAACTTCAAAATTTAAATATTAAACTAAACATTTAAAATTTTAACTAAAATATAAAAGTTCTAATTTCATCGGCCAAAATGATATTTAAACTAAAACATTTGTATACTACAATATATTTGTAATATTCAAGAATAATATTGTAAGCTTCATAAAATAAAATATATTACATCAACTAGTTAATATACATCAATATTAATATATATAATTATGTACTAAGAGACTTTTAAAATCAATAACGTAAACAACCATTTCCTTAATGATATTGATTAATAAAGAATATAAAAAGATAGATACACAGATTTAGCTCAATAATAAAACCACATTTATTCCTTTCCACGTAGTCGAAATTTCAAATGTCCCCACCCACATTATTGTACTTAGAATCAAGGTTTTAGACGTCGATAATCGATAAATATTTCTAAGAATAAAAAATATGTAAAGAATATATATATTAACAAATAAATGTTTTTTGGCCTTTCTAAATGAATTAAGATAATTAGAATATTATATTTATATTAGTGATATTTTATATATTTTTAAATACTATAAAAAATGTCAAGTTAACATCATATTCATGGATCTATAAAAATATGACGAAATGTGTAAGTGATATTTAATATTTGCTTAGAATATACATATATGATTAAAACATAAGATACAAAATATCTTTCTTCCACAAAAAAAGAAAAAAAAATCTTTTAGCACGTGCAAAGGGCGTGGTATGGCAGTCCTTATCTTATATTAACGACGAGAAGTTCATAAATTCTGGACTTTCTCACCCGACACTGACTTTCGTACCATAAATGCGATCAGCAGCTCCTGGGCCCACTCACCGCTGCTGGACCAACAGTATGTCTACACGTGTCCAGTAGTAGGTTGGCACTTTTCTTTTTGGCTTTTTCTATTTTTTAATTTCATTTAGAGGAGATATATTCTAAAATGGGGCTTTTCTTTTAATAAGGTTTTTTAAAACTTATTTCTAAAATAATACTGATTTAAATAAACTTAAATAAAAAATGCATTTTTTCAAACTTATTCCGACACTTTGTCCAATTTCTTGAGACTCGAACCGATGAAGAGGTGCCCTCCACTACACAACTAATTGATATTCAATTCAAAATTCTACATTTTAATATATAATATATAATAATATTTATATTCTTCTAAAAAAACAATATCCGGATAGTCGTCTCTTTAAGAGACAACCACACAACGTGCCAACACATGATCGTCACGACCATATCTTAATTTTAAGATAAAATCAGACAATAAAACGTCACGTCCTCATAGTCGTCTCTTGGTCGTCTCTTCTCTAGTGGGAGAATAATTTCAAAAATATTATTTTTGAAATAAGTTTCGAAAAAAGCATTTTTTTTTCCTTTACTTTTATTTAATGCATCATTCTTTTAAAAATAAGTTTAAATAAAAATATTATTTAAAAAAACCCATTCTAGAATGGGCGCGAATAGTGAGAGCTCAAAAAAATATCATCCTAAAAATGGGATTGGAATTAGTTTCATTTTAAACAATATTAAAAAAAGAACATGTGTGGAGTCACTAAGTTCTCCCATCAAATAAGCAAAGATTCATTAATCTCTCACCCCTATATATTGTACTAAAAATAATTTTAAAAAGTAAATTTTTTTTCCTTAATTGTGGTTTTATTATTATTAGTTTGCTGCTATTGTATTTGTTTTGAAATATTTTGAGTGAAAGAATTAGATTATATATAAGTTTATCTTGAAAGATGCATTTTGTTAACTGTTGAATCTTTTTTATAATTTTTGTTCTTTTGCATTTGATATAACACTGGTAATGGATGGTTTTCTTAGTAAGGTATATACCTTTTGTTATACATCATGGTTGTGTTTCATGTTTATGATATAACTTCAATAGATCTTAATAGATCTTTATAGGGTCGTTTAATCGAGATTTATGGTCCAGAGACATCTTGAAAGATAACTCTTGCTTTGCATGTAATTGCTCGATCCCAAGAGTAAGGAGTACTGCTTACATGATAAATGAATGTGCTCATTTATTTTTCTCTATATCGGTATATTTTTCTGTTTTGCTACTTGCTTCGGATTATATTTGTGGTTTCTTTAAATTATTTTGTTATTCAAAGACCAATTGCATATTGGTTACATTAAAACTGTTCTATATATATATATTATGAAAAAGTAGACTTTCATTGAGAAAATGAAAAAATATATGGCTACATACATCAACCATATCCCCCAAGTAAGTAGTTCTTGGGGTGCATGTTACTGATTATTGGAATGTTTGACATGATCAAATTGTGACTAGTTGGTTATGCTTGAGCTTTCTTTTTTTTTTTTCTGTTACTGATTAAAGGCATGTCTTGACGTTTTTGTTGAACTTAAATGGTTGGTGTTTCAATAGACACCTATTGAGCTCATTTACACCCAAAAATAGCACGAGTCGTGCTTTAGCTTACTACTATATAAGATTTAAGACAGAGTAAATAAAATATAACAAAATGAGTTTGATTTTTGATGGAGTAAATTGTAACTTTAACAAGTAAACAGACCAAATTAAATCCCCGTCCAAATTATGAGGACGGAATTCGTGATTTAACTTAAACAATAATATAAAAACGACTAACCAACTAATGTCAAAGAAATCAGATGACTTTAATCTCAAGCCACGTAACATGGCGCCAAGAATGAGTCAAAATGGGCTGATTTATCCCCCTGACACATGTTTTAACTGTAAACGCACAGCTTATTGGATAAGATAATTAAGTAAAATCGTCGTTGAGGATGAATCCAATGATTCTACAAGCGACTCGCCCGTGCAGGGCCCATCGACTTGGCAATCTCCCTAAGCACGAACTTCTTGATCTTCCCCGTCGACGTCTTCGGCAGTTCTGCCTTGAAAACCACCGTCTTCGGCACCATAAACCGCGGCAGCTTCCCTCTGCAGTACTCAATTATCTCTTCCTCCGTCGGCCTCCGACTCAATCCTTCTCTCAAGCTCACGAACGCGCACGGCGTCTCCCCCCAGAACTCATCCGGTCGCGCCACCACCGCCGCCTC